ATTCATTGTTTCTACACAGAGAAAGCTGCCTGTTTGCAGCAGGGACCATCCATCTACCTTGCCCTGATCCCTGAAGGCTAAGGGACTTAAGTTCTCTCACAGCACTGCACAGCCCCATTAATTTTGGGACACACAGGGTGGGGCACTTGTGGATCCCATTTTCCTTTCTACTTACATTTTGAAACAAGACCTCTGTTCGCAGTGCACTGTTTGTAGGTAATAAGCCTTTAGTAGTTTCCTATCTCCAAGTTCCTGCCTGCCTTGCAATGTTCCTGTCTTACTTTCCACCACTGCCCCAACATGGACTGAGCCAGGCCAATGAAATTATGTCCGATTCTAAAGCTTGTATCTTTTTACTGAGACATAGCACTTTAGCCTCATTCAGCATTCCACAGCATACTGGCCTTAAGGATGTATTTTCTTACTTTGAGGCTCTGTGAGCTCAGGAAATGCAAACCAATCTTACTATGAGACTAAGTAAAATATGTAAATCTGCTATAAAATGAATTGATTATAACTCTCACTTTGCTACAACTCAAGGTCTTTGAAGGAGTACCTAGCAAAGACCTTGGCCAGAGCAGACTACTAAATATCTACTGAATTAATTAAATCTCCGACTGAAATGGAGTATTTATGTTAGTCCCAAGATTCACCCCACCATTAATGTAAGGGATTATTTACTGCAGTTTCAAGAAGTTCCTATAAACACACAAAAAGATGCTGTATAAGAAAATCAACTTTGTAAATTCCGGAGAATACTCTCATATTACTGCTCTGCTAAATTATGCACTGTCAACAGACACCACGACCAGCAAGAGTTGGGGTGAGCTTCTCCCCAAAGGGGAGAGCATTCAGAAGACCACTGCATTAACAGAATAAAGGACCCTAAAAAGGAGTTACAAGGTTGGGCACCTAACAAATAGCTGAGTAATCTTCTGTCTTTTACAAACACTAAAAACAAAAATTTAAGGCCAAATCTATATTTTTAAAACCTCCATTAACAGTATAAACCCAGACTGTACTAATATGTGCATAATGGAGATACATGAAGCCAGACTTTTGCCATCTACAGCTGCTGTTCTTGGGGATGTGATTTGAAATCTACTTTCTGGCAAAAGGCAAGCCATGTTATAACAGTGACAACTGAACGGAACACACTTTCATAACTCCCCTTACTATGCCCCTCTTTGTTTTCCTTAAAACAGTTCATTTTTTTAAAATTAGCAAAGCTAAGTGTTTTAGGCCAGTATTTTAAACTTACATCTTAGTTTTGCCTTTTGAGACAGTGTATTTCCTGAGGCCAAGTAATTATTTTAAGGTTTTGGAAACATGCTTTTGTAGTAGCCATATGTAGTAGTAGCCACCTATTTTGGAATAGTCCTCTAACCTCATATATACATTCTCAAAAGCCAAGAGTATGCAGACAAAGATGCAGAGGGCAGACAGCCAGTTAATAAATCTCATTTCCCATCTGCACCTGCACAGAACAGAGCTATGGGGAGTATGCTCTCCAGGGAGATCCAGAGCACAACTCACACACCCTGTGAATTAAACAGTGTCACCTCAAATGGCCCCCTCACCACATTTATTTTTTTAAGCAGTTCTTAAAATATATAGATTTCTAGTGCTCCTAAACGCTGTGAGGAAGCTGAGGCTGAGGAAGCAATCATATAACTGTGTACACGAGCCGTGTAGGTAGAGCCATTTTTGCACCTGGTCTTTTTAACTGAAATTACTAATGTACAGGAAGCTTGCTTTTCTAATCAAAGTGCACACTACCTTCAATAATGATTTACCACCTATTCTACTCCAGGTTGTGAAAATGAGCTTTGTTTACACTAACAGATACCTGGGTCACGATATCTGGGTCAGGAGTGACAGATGTCTTTTATTTGTGAAAAATCTAGTACAAACGCTATAAAAATAGAAGAGTGACTGCTTGCTCCTTAGCTGTGCTGCATGGTCCTATCTTCTAGGTGTCCGCTTCTCCTCCTGTTTGCACTGGAGGCACGGCAAAGAGCTCCAAAAGAGTACCTTTCTAGTAACAACTGCATTCTTGTATTTACATTGTTCTTTTAAAATTTGATTTACATGGTTTTAATTTTTTATTTTTTGAGGTGTCAGAAGCGAATCTCAGGGCCCTACTACATATGCTAGGCAAGTACTCTACTTCTGAATTATATCCCTGGCCCAGAAACCATTTGTTTTAAATGTCTGAAGTTAACCTTACAATATCTCTGTAGGAATGGGACTAGATATCTTTATGCATAACAAGCAAAGGTAGCAAATAAAGCCTCAGATCAAGGGTTTGCTGGGTTCCTATTACAATGGCATCTTCCGGCCTTGCCAAGGTCCTGGGCTCACCTAGGGTCCCACGGGACTCCACTGACAACTTCGAAGCACATCTCACTGTCATGGACTATCCCAAGCTTACAGCCAAAAGTCAAACTTTTACTTAGTTAAATCTCTATTGAGCTTTCAAATTGCCTTCCAAGTTTCCTTAACAGTTAAAAGGCTACCTTATTCCAATTTTGGGATGCCAAAATAATGATGGAATGTTTCCAAGTAGAAAAATGTGTCACATTTTTCCTTTCCCTATGTTTCTTCAGAAGAAAAAAAGTGGTGGTCACATTATACTGGTCATCCACTTTGAAAGAGAAGCAGACCAAGGAAAACACTCAGTGTGTCTGTTTCCAAAGGGCATCCTTTGTATAATGTGAGACACAGCAATTTTGGAGGCCTCCTTCTTTACTTATCCTATGAAACCTCTCAGTATAGTATCCACTAGTCCTATATAAAAATACAAATGCAATGATTCTCTGAATGACTTAAGAATTTGTTCAGTCAGATCATTATTCAAATTCAGTTTTGCTTTTTATATAATCCCAGGTAGTATTATAGGGACTCAGAAAGCAAAGTGGAAAAAATTCAGAAGATGAAAATAGTAATTGAGATCAAATTAAAGAAGCAAATAAAATTTTATTTTAAAACAAAAATTTATCATGAGAAGGTAACATTTAACCTGTTAAATTATTTTTCACTGTCATTCTAAGTGGGTTCAAACGAGTAATGAAACCCAACTGGGCAACTTCCTTTGGCTTATGTGGTAAAATCTGAACTCCATCCTAAAAGCAACTGCTACCTACATAGTATGAATTAAATCTCTTAGGAGATGAGAGCTTCTAAGAATGGATCAAATAAGAGAAGTTCAAAAGCAAATCAATTTTTAAGCTTTGGGATGTTCAGAGAGGACAAAGGTAGAGGAGTAATGAGAGAAGGGGCTAGAATTTCTAATCACAGGGTCCTCTAGGGAAGAATCCCAAAAGCTGTGGGTCAATTTTGGTTTACATTAAGAGCATAACAAGCGCTTGAAATCTCTAAGGATGCCATGTCAACACATTTGCTGGAACCATAACATATGAGATTTTGGTGACCTCATGGGCATGGCCAAAATTAACTCCAAGTATTTATGTAACTGCCAGGGATGACAGGGCAAAGGTTGCTTATAATTTTTTTTTAAGTCAACAAACAGTGTGTGCCTTTGGTCAAAGAGAAAGGAAGCAGGATACTTTCGGTCCTATTTTATGATATGCCACATTTATACACACAAAATAGCCTGCCCATAATACCACCTGAATGTTTGGATGAAGGCTCTCAAAAACGTGTTATTTCCTGTTGCTTACTAGCTGAGAGGATGCGCTTTAGCGTTAGTGGTATGTGTGCTTGGCTTCAAAGCAGAAGCATTGTTGGTGGTTATCAAGGTAACATTTAAAAATAACTACCCCATCCTTGGTGGGGGGAGTAGAAAAAAAAAATGGAAGCAAAGCTTTTGTAAATAAGGAGGGGAAGAAGGGTTGAAGGGAAGGGAGGAAAACGGAAATAAAAAGCAAAATATACGATGCATAAAAATTCCCTGTGATGAATGTTATCATTATGCATATCTAAAATGAACCCATAAAAAAGAACTATGCTGACAATTAAAAAAAAAAAAGAAATAAAAATAACTACCCCAGTACAAAAAAAACTTCAGAGGAAATGTGACTGAAGCTATCAGTCTAAGTCTGGCCTTGAGCACCCTAAGACCCTAGCTGCATTCTCCATTACATTGTTATCCTTATCAAACAATGCAAACAATTTTAATGAGCTTATCTGCGGGAACATATGGCCAGATACATTAAAGTAAAAATGATGCCAACCACACAGGCCATTTCATTAATCAAAAGGCTCACAAAACAATGACCAAGATCATTCCCATCCTCAAATCAGACCTCAGCAAAATACCAGAAATTACCTTTCTACTGTAAATAAGAAGGGCTCCCCCACCCATGCGGAGGCCAGAAACTCCTAGGAAAATGCATAACAGCACCCAGTTTTTTCCAGGTCCATTACAGTCCATCTCTTTCTAAAAAGCTCAAGGCTCAAAGGAGAAAATTTTGGCTTATGTCTGACACTGTGACCTTTGCTGTCAACCCTTGCACCAATCAGCAAGCGGAATTCTTACAAAGCTCCATCAATCTGGCGGTTTAACATCACAGACTGCAGCTTAATCTAGAGGATTCCATCTTTCCTGCACGCTCTCCAGGTTGAGCACAAACGTTTTCCTCGCCATCCTCCCATTTGTCTTCTCTGCCTTTAGGCATAGCTACCTAATGGCCCCTTTAAAATCAAAAAGGGGAAGGAGGAAAGGAAGTGCTACAGCCTGTCTCTCTTTGGAAAGGGGGAGAAAACAGCATGCATTTTTGTCAATGTGGAAGGAAAGAGATGGAGGGAGACCTTTTGCAGGCAGCAAACCAGGTCACAAAATGCTTTCCATCTGCAATCGTGAAGGCTCGATGCATCCCCAACGTGACACACAGGAAAGGATAGCAAAAAACCACGCCAGCCTCCACCAATTCACGCCTGCAGCCCGGGTCGCGGGCAGTGTCCGCTGCATTATATAACGGGCCGGACTTCCGCGCGTCCCCACCACAGTCCCAGCCGGCGCCCGGTCAGCCCATTACCTGTAGGATCGCTCCCCGCGCACTGTGTGCTTCCGGAAAGGAATGATGGTCCCGTTATCCTGGATGATGTCGTTGTTGTTCTCGCCATTTGGGGACAGGGTTTGGGTCGGCCCAGGCATTGGCGCACTCCCGAGAAAGGGAATAAACCGCTGTGGGCTGGCTGGTGAGGAAGGTGGCTGCGTCTTCCCGCTGCTCTCCTGCTCGCAGGGACCTCGCCTGCCTCCGGCTCGCTCGCTCGCTGCTGCCTTCTCCCGACTGGATTCCCGCCCCGCCCC